AAACACCAGAATCCATAGAAGATTTTCTTATTTCATAAACACCATTTAAATTTATATCAGCATTTTTTTTGTTTGTTTGCTAACTTGAGAGCGGTCTTTGTGAAAGATCCTGTGCATTTCATAAAGATGGTTGCTTCCAAGCTGGATGTGCCTATCCTTAAAATGCCGCAGTATTTTTGAACGTAAAACTAGTGACCTCAAGTTAAATTCCGTTTGCTCAACCTTTGGATTCTGTTGTGAGAGTGTTTGTATCCTTATTTCTGTGTACCCTTTCCTGCTTGCAAGCTGATCAGCCCCACGGTCCTGTAGGTCCTGCAGCCTCAGTTCCTCAGTCTGTTCAGTATTTTCCAAAGTCCTGCCAAGTGCAAGTCTCTCTGATATAATGGAGAAGGAGATACATGAGCAAAATATTTAGACATAGGCCTAGGGAAAGATTTTAGTACATTGGTCTTTTTTTAAGACTGCACAAGACAGCAGCTCATCGACTCACAGAATGGTTTGGGTTGTAGGAGGCCTTAAAAGATCATCTAGTTCAAACCCTGAACCATGGGCAGGGATACTTTCTAAGCTGTCACTGTCATTTGGTATATCTGTATTTCTCTCTTTCCACTTTGAAGCTGGAAGTCACAGACTCATAGAATCATATAATAGTTGGGGTTGGAAAGGACCTTAAGATCATCCAGTTCCAACCCCCCTGCCATGGGCAGGGACACCTCACACTAGACCACATCACTCAAGGCTCTGTCTAACCTGACCTTGAACACCGCCAGGGATGGAGCATTCGCAACTTCCCTGGGCAACCCATTCCAGTGCCTCACCATCCTTAACAGTAAAGAACTTCTTCCTTATATCCAGTCTAAACTTCCAATGTTTAAGTTTGAACCCATTACCCGTTCTCCTATCACTACAGTCCCTAATGAAGAGTCCCTCCCCAGCATCCTTACAGGCCCCCTTCAGATGCTGAGTCTTTGGCTCAGGATTCAGGCTAAAGATCTTCTGCCTGAGTTGGTAGAAAAGCAGCAGGAACTGCATGAAGGATAGACCTTCTGTAGCTGTGTTTTTTCCTGCTGAGGTATACAGAATGTTGCCGACCACTAAGAAAGACTTGGCCTGACCTGACTCCATCCACAAACCAGAAAGTCTGGGTGGTACCTTAGCTGCTTTATACATACATGGTGCTTCCACTTCAGTGGAAGAGCACTTAAATATGATCTGCTGTTGGCCCCATGTTTGATACCCTGTGGCATTTCAGGGTGAGGAGCAATTTTAAAAGCCACTACCAGAAGAAAACATTTATGTTGTTTCTTTCCCTGAGTGTGGATGTTAAAAGCAGTTCATTGCTGTTTTTTTCTGTATTGTTTAGGAACTGCTATGCACTTGCAGGTTGCACTGAAGGGATTGGATTCTAAGGTTTAGGTTTTGGTAGATGAAATTTCTTTGTAGGCTGAGATGAACTTTTACAGAAATGTGTTACATTCTGTAATGCTCTGGGTTTCTTAATGGATGGAAGGAAATAAAATAGAAGCTAGAAGTATCTTGTTCATGAGTGCAGAGTCATTCTGGAGCTTATGCTGAGTTGTTACCACTATATTTTCTGTCGATGTGCTTCTGATCAATACTCTAAGGGCACTTAGATGTTATTTAATGGTATTACTAGCAGAAATTTTCTGTCTTTTTCTTCAAACATCAATTTTAGTCGTTAGCATAAAGTAATTTAAGTAGTTGTACTGGAAAAGTAGTTTTAAACTCTCATCAATTATTAACTTTGTAGGCCACCTTACGTGTCTTTGCTGTACTTACACAAATGGATATGAGCTAGAGAATAATATGTAACATTTCATGTTCTGACAGGCTGCTTCTCTGGCTTTCCTAGTCTGAGTTTTGATATATTTTTTTTCAATATATTGGGCACTAACAACCCTTCTTTTGTTGTTCAGCAGCAAAAGAAATGTAGGTAGCTGCTAGGAGAAACATGGTGCGATTGATGAGTTTGTGACATTGTATTCCCTCTTTACCCCTTTTTCCTCTTCATCTTACTCCCATTCCATTTCCCACCAAGCTCTGCAGTGATTTTATGCTGGTGCTTTCTAAGGTGAGTTAGAAAGACCACTCATACTAAACAAAGTTTCTTTGGCTTGTTTCTGAAAAGAAGATGTTGGGCAGAGAAGAGATTCAGAGCAGCCCTGCAGAGAAGGACTTGGGGGTGCTGGTCGATGAGAAAATGAACATGAGTCGGCAGTGTGCGCTTGCAGCCCAGAAAGCCGACTGTATCGTGGGCTGCATCCAAAGGAGCGTGACCAGCAGGTCAAAGGAGGTGATCCTGCCCCTTTATTCTGCTCTTGTGAGACCTCACTTGGAGTATTGTGTGCAGTTCTGGGGTCCTCAACATAAAAAGGACGTGGATCTGTTGGAACAAGTCCAGAGGAGGGCCACAAGAATGATCAGGGGACTGGAGCACCTCCCATATGAAGATCGGCTGAGAAAGTTGGGGCTGTTCAGCCTGGAGAAGAGAAGGCTGCGTGGAGACCTCATAGCAGCCTTTCAGTATCTGAAGGGGGCCTATAGGGATGCTGGGGATGGACTCTTCATTAGGGACTGTAGTGACAGGACAAGGGGTAATGGGTTAAAACTTAAACAGGGGAAGTTTAGATTGGATATCAGGAGGAAATTCTTTCCTGTGAGGGTGGTGAGGCACTGGAACAGGTTGCCCAAGGAGGTTGTGAATGCTCCATCCCTGGCAGTGTTCAAGGCCAGGTTGGACAAGGCCTTGGGTGATACGGTTTAGAGTGAGGTGTCCTTGCCCATGGCAGGGGGTTGGAACTTGATGATCTTAAGGTCCTTTCCAACCCTAACTATTCTATGATTCTATGTTGAAGGAGAGATTTTTTTCTGGTTTACCCCCTTTTTTCTTCCCACTCAACATTTCAACCAGGCAGTTGTTCCCTTTTTTTTTTTGGCAGTGACTTGAGACTTCAGAGGATTGCTGCCAGGGTCTGAATGACTGCAGAATTTAGACTTCATCTCCTTCCCTTGTGTCTTCTAGATAAGTACAGTCAGACCATGAGTAAATCTGACCCTTGCCAGTCCTTTCTCAGTCTTTCACAGAATAAATAAAATTTGTCATGAAACTCTGCTTTGATCCTTTGATCTAGAGCATCCTTTTTATTCAGCAGAGTCTTTCTGTGACAGTAATAAAAAGCCTGCATTTTCATGTCAGGTGTAAGATATATTAGGCAGGCTTATGGCCAGGGAAAGAAGTGTTCTCTGTGTTTCAACCACAGGTTGTTGAGTGGGTTGGGTACTCATGCTGAGTGTCCAGAACAGGTTATTCACCACTCTAGAGCTAAAGAAGGTCGTCTCTGTGTCTGATCTCAAGAGGGGATGACTGGCTGCACTGTGGTGGGGGTAAGGCAGGCAGGTGACTCGAAGATGATGCTTGAAACCTGAATGCAGGCCAAGATGCGCAGAAAAGCTTTCCTGAAAATGGTACCACGAGGGCTTTTTAGTACTTGTCACAATTGCTGTTATCTGGCTGGGGCTGTATTCATGTAGCTGTTTTCATTGTCTCTTTCCTTTGAGCTCATTGCCTCTCTTTTCTTTGAGCTCATTGTGTGGGATGAATTTTAGGCAAGCGGCCTTCTCCCTCCAGCTGGGAATTGCGCTTCTCTCTTATTTTTGCAGTGGCTGGAATGAGAAACCTGCTGTGGCACTTCACCTCCAGAATAGCTGAGCCAGGTAACTTGTATGTTACTGTACAGGGAAGTTCATCTTTTCCTTTCCTCAGAAGAAGTAGCATGAAAGTGCAAGATCATGAGCCTTGAACTTAATCTGAGATAATTTGATTAAGTTCCCCAGGCTCTCCAGTACATTTTCTCTCCTTTCTCCCCTGCCCCCCATATTCTTTTTATAAACTTGTATTATATGAGTACTCCAGTTAAAAAAATTAAATAATGCAAGCCAGCCAAGAGCTTTGTGTCAGTCAGTCAGAGTTGGTAGGCTGCAGAGATGGAAATTTCTGATTGGGTTGTTAGGAGTAGGAGATGGACTTGAAAGTTTCGGGGTAAATACCAAACTTGTACATAAAGTAAAAGTTCAAAGATTTTGGAGGCAGGATGTTCTGGTAGGCAGGTTGGCAGTCGAGCATGGTCAGGAGCCTGGATCTGGACAGGCAGTTTCCTAGTCAATCAGAGACCAAGGGTTCTTCCAGACAGCATGGTCTGCTGGGAACATGAGCTGGTGACTCTGCTTGATTGGTCAGCTGCTCTGAGTGATGTTCTTCATGCCTGGTAACCCAGATTTTTCTTGATTAAACTTTCAGCAATGTTCCTTTCATGTTCCTTTCTCCTTGTGTTACATCTGGCAAACTTAATCTTGCTTACTTCATGGTGCCTTCTTGAAGTACAGGTTGTTTAGTATGAGGCACAGGGGAGACCATTGCCTTTGTCCTGATCAGCAAGTTGGCTGATGTGAAAGACATAGTACTGAGCAACAGTACTGACTGTGGCAGCCCTGAGCTTTTAAGAATTGTCTTGAGTATGTCTTTAGGGTATTTTGTGTACACATGCAACTCTTCAGTCATCCTCAATTCAGTTAAGAATACTTGGGAGAGGAACTGTGATTCCAAGTAAGTCACAGAGCACTGAACCGAAAGGAAACCTTTGGATTCATGGCACTGTGAATCATCAAGAAGCTGAGCAGCACTTAAAAATATGTACATTACATATTAAACCCCAAGAACTTTAGACAGACTTTCAAAGATTATTATTTCAAATAAAATATTAAGTATTTCAAATATATTTTAAGTGGGTTTTTTTTGTTTGTTGGTTGATTGTTTTTTTTTGTTTTTAAAAATATATATGCCTATATATTCGTTCTGAAGTTTAGTTAGTTTACATTGTATATATGCTGTCCTGTCTTGCAAGATAAAGCAGTTTCTGTGAATTATAACTGGCACTGTGAACGTTGTGGCTGATGATAAGTTATGCATTCTTCATTGGCAGGTTCCAGTTGCACACTGTTTTGGGTCTCCAGGACATTACAAAAGAAAGTTTTGCACTGTGTGCAGGAAGTCACTAGAATCACCTGCCCTTCGATGTGAAGGTAACGTAGAAAACCATACCTGTTTAGCCATCTATGTGTTAGACAGTAATGCACACTTTGCTTACATTGCATACCTTGGAAGTATGTGTGTATACACGCACACATATGCACTCACTGTATTTGAGCGATTTTGGGGTTGTTTATCATCCACTCATTGTTCATGGACATGTGTATGTCAAATCAAGGAATAATAAATCAGTAGCATTCAGTAAACCACAGTCTTTGTCAAACCTTGCTCTTTCATCTTTTCTCCATGTGGTGTTGATGGTGTGCAATGAATCCATGCCCCAGATGTGCAAGGCATGAGAGGGTATTATGGCAAAAGAAATACTTCTGTTGAAGTAATTTATTTCTGTTTCTAGTGGAAGCTTTTGGTACAGGGAATCATCAGGTATTCATGTTTCTAAAACCTTCCACTTTCTACAAAAGACTGGGGTATAAGTTTTCAGTGTTACTGGTCTCAGATATCTGTTGACTGTAATATGGATGAGGTGCCTTCAGTTGAAAGGTATTTGAAAATATTTATCAAATAGCACTGCTCTGAGTTCTGACATGGATTCTGTGAAAAAAAAACAATAATTAAAGAAATCACCTGAACACCATAATTTTTATTTGAAATATATGTTGGCATCAGTACTTGACTGATTTTGATGTGGGGCAACTCCTTAATTTTCCCTTGTTTGCCCTGTCTTGAGTATCTAGTATTTGTTGTTCAGCTGATATTGTGAGGTTGAATAGAATTTCGTATTTTAAAGAAATAATACCTATAAGCTGTTAAAAAAAAAAGGATAGTTTACTGAGAGAAGAACCAATTCTGCAGGGATTTGAGATGCTTTCAAAATTGCTGTTTTGCTAAATATAATCTCTTATTTAGTATGATTGCCTATGTGTATGAGTAGCAGAAACATTTCTCTTTCTTTGGGGCATTTAGACTTTTAATGGTGCAGTGGTTTTGTTTCTGCTTTGTCTGGTGAGTTGCATAATGAATCAAAACTATGTTCTGACCAGCGAGAATCTGTCACTTAAAATAGTTACTATGTGAGGGGTGATACGGTGGGATGGTCAAAGAGCAACAGATGCCACAGGGTCTTTTCAGGTGATCTGTCTTACTAAGCCTCAGAACTTGTATGGCATGTGAAAAAAAGAGGATTTGAAAAAAAAATTTTTGCTAGCTTTGTCCTCTGAAACTCTTGAAAATAGCGTTAGTTAAGTGATCTATTTTGGTTAAAGCTTTCTAAATTTTGCTTTCATGTACTTACTCTCCTAATTCTTCTGTATTAGTGGTGTAATCCATTGCAAGGGAATATTTATCTTTTCAGGCACTTTCATTTAAGTGTTCTTAAACAAGAAGCACGTGAAATTGCGGTTATATTTAGTTACTACAAATGCCCAGACATTTTATTTCTTTTCTGGTTCGATGAAGGTTATGAATTATATTCTTCATATGGACTAAACAGTTTTCTTGTTTTGTGTAGTGTGACTTGTTTGGTATCCCATTTTCTGAATACTAGGAAGTCTACAACTCGTTCCTCTGATACTTTTCCCATACGTAGCTAAAAAAGGACAGTTAAGGTTCATACAGTGCCCAAGATTCTTCCTTTACTCTTCAAAAATAATTATAGAATTTGTTTTAAGCTGTAGAGCTTTAAAATCCAGACAGAGATGTTGAACTTTCTTTTTTTCTTACTTCTAATGACTCATCTTAATAGTACAAGTCTACTGTTGGTTATGGCGTTGTCTTCTGATACTGAAATTTGAAGAACTTTTCCATGAAACTTTGCCATAATTAAGTTAGAAAAGAGGGTTAAGATGAAATTACCTTTTCTAAATAAATGATTGACATCATTAGATGTACTTTCAAAATAATTTAAATAACTTGGTTTGTACTCTTCATGTCGTACAATAGAACAAATTTCCTGGAAGCAAACTGGACATTTTCAGACAAATACTAAATGCTGTGGGTGCATGGTGGGGCATCTGTTCTCAGAAATGAGCATGCATATATATTACTCCCTGGTGAGATAAGTACATACTCTTCATCAGCAGAAAATTACAATGTGTGGACTCCATATGCTGCTGACAGTTACTATTTGCTTTAGAGAGAGGTTTTTGCTAAAAAAAAACCCATCTGTGTTCTTACAAAATACAGCAAAAGGCAGTGTGTGCCTGTGTTAGTAGAAGTAATGATAAAAGCTCCAGTGCTTTTGTCGATTGCTTGAAGCCATAATTCCGTCTACAGAAACTTTTACCATTAGTGCAGATATGACTCAAAGCATCTAGCTTGCCGCATAGCTGAATTGGCAAACCTGTAAAATATGTCTGTGGATATGGAGAAATGCGAGCTGGTGAGGGACTGTGTCACACCTCATAGAGAAGTTCTCCAGCTCAGTGAGGATGCGCAGTATGGGGAGCTGTATGTGAAAGCTTGTAGTTGACTTAGTAAGCCCTGTTAAAACAGGCTTTGCTTTGGTGGGATCATGGTCTTCTGCAGGGTTAGAATAAGACAGTGTTAGTGCTGATGGCCTTTCCTAGAGCCCAGAGGGTGATTTCAAAATAAGGTATTTTTCTGTGTGTAATTTAAGACTGTTTTAAACATGCTTTCAGATAATGTGTGTAGTTGCCACCTCCAAATTTTCAGTTTACAGTCTCCAAATTTTTGTGATGTGCTTGAAACAATAACCTATTTGAGCAGAACAGAAAAAAATATTTGAAGAATTTGATGTTGTGTCTTATTTTAATGTACTCAACAAAAAATCGGATGCCTTCCCAGAGTACTTGGATACACAAGCAGCGGGAGGAGGATCCTTTTCATCTATTCATGTCTGTGTGGTCCATAGAGAATTTTCCTAACTCTCACAATAATGAAGCTAGGTATTGACACATTTTAGTTGGTTTTTTTTTGGTGTTTGTTGTATTTTGTTTGGTTTAGGGTGTTTTTTTTGTCTTTTATTTGGGGACTGTGGGTGAGGCAGGAGTCCTGGCTGTGCGCAGGAGGGGTGTGCTACCTGCATGCTGCTGTTTTGGCAGGCATGTCCCCTGCTTTGCTGGGGCTGGGGACTCAAACTCGTCTCTTGTTTCCTTGTGCTTCTGAAAACACCAGGGATATAAAGAATGGGCTAGGCAGCAGAAAAGTGTCTGCTGATTTAAACCCACTCATGAAGTGCCTGCTTGCTCTGCAGTAGGGTTTGGAAAAGGGTTTGTAAGAGGAATTGTTTCAGGAAGATACTACTTTACGTTCAAGACTTGATGGTATTTGGATGTAGAAAGAGAGTTCTCTGTTAATGCTTCTAACATTCAGGTTGTCTTGGTTTTCATGAAATCAAAGTAGACTTAAGGCACAGTTATATTTGAGTAGGCAGCAATCCTTGTGAAACTGTGAGACGAAGCTGTAATAAGCCAAACAGTTGTTACAAATCTAATGTGCTGTATTGGAGGAAATATGGCAAGTGCTTGTGCGCAAAATTAGTTCAGCCTTTCCTTATACTTGCTGCATCAGTTTAGCACAAAGGAAATGGAGCAACAGACAGGACAGTGCTGATAAATGCCTTTTATTGCCTGTCTTTGCTGAATGGAAAAGAGCATTAAGGAAAGCAAGGATGGTGCAAAAAGGTAGTGGAGGAGTCTTGGAGGGAGAGAGGGAGGGAAGGAGGAGCTGCAAAAACCCGGAGGTTTCCAGCTTAAAGAAGTTTTCTTGTTTTCATGCTTTTAGTTTGTGAGCTGCATGTGCACACAGACTGTATCCTGTTTGCTTGCAGTGACTGCCGGCAGTGTCACCAGGATGGGCACCAGGACCATGTAAGTGTGGATGCCTCTGAAGCAGAAAGTGGTCACACGTTCTTGGACACTTTCTTGGTGTGAAAACATGGACTAGAGGAGGGGGAGGAGCCTCGGCATTTCCTTTCACATGCTGCCCATTATCAAAGCATGTTTGTGTTTATTGTCAGGCAAAGGAAGCTGTGGCTTCAGAATGTATCACAGATAGCAAAATTAACTTAAGTTTGGACACATTCATGATGCTTATTTGAATCCATGCTGAAAAGTCTGTGTGATAGATAAAATATCCTAATTTAAAATAATAATTAAAAAAAACCAGCATCTTATTTAAAAATCTGCATTGCAGAAGCTGTCATGAAGCTTTATTTTTCTATATGTTGAGCTGTTTGATGCATTGCATCCTTGGCAAACATGATGTTCCTCAGGCTTCCTGCAGTCTCTCTGAGGCAAGACTGCCTAGATTCTCACTGTAAGATATATGCATAATACTGACCTTTCAGAATTTTTATTTTTTCTTAAGAATATTGGTTTTGGTGGACTGTGAAGAAAAGCACTATGTGATAAATTTTTTGGTGGTTGGATAAGCTGCTTTTGGTGAAGTTTAAGATCGTTAGGGTACATATTTAGACTGAGAAAATACTTAATGTCATAGTCTGTGTTGCTGTTTCCTCAGAACTGTTTGAATGGCTGATTTTAAAGTTAAGTTGAAGATGCTTCTGTATGTGTCTTTTGAGCAGGGCCTGTTGTGGTAGGATGAGGGGTGATGGTTCTGAGCTAAAAGGGGTGAGATACAGGCTGGATGTGAGGAAGAAATCTTTCACAGTAAGGGTGGTGAAACACTGTCAGTGGTTCCCCAGAGAGGTGGTGGATGTGCCATCCCTGGAGACATTCAAGGCCAGGCTGGATGTGGTTCTGGGTGACCTGATCTAGTGTATGATGTCCCTGCTCATTGCAGTGGAGCTGGATTAGATGAGCTTCGAAGGTCCCTTCCAACCCAAGCTGTTCTATGAGTATGATTCTGTGTGTTTCGTGTAACGCTAAACTGTGATGTGTTCCCCCAGGATACCTATCACCACCACTGGAGGGAGGGAAACCTTTCTTCAAGTGCACGTTGTGAAGTCTGCAAGAAAACCTGTGGCTCCTCTGAGGTCCTCTCTGGCATGAGGTGTGAATGGTGTGGCATCCTGGTATGTTGTGCTATTGCATATATTTGTGGGAACTATATATATATGTATGCCCATGTGTATTTAAATGCTTTATATAAATATACCTTATTTGTACATTTTATAGATACATTTTATATACACTTTATAAATAAACCTTATTTATACACTAACATTTGTGAGATAGATGTAAAAACATATTTTTAAAATCCCCCCATTACTGATTAAAATAAGCAGTTCTCAAAATCAGATAAATTTTATATAAATCCAATGGAACTAAAATTTATGAGGGAAAAATTATTATAGATTTCTGCTTATAAACCTGCAGAAAACGTTACTTTTCCTGTGTGAAATCAGAATTTCTTTCAAATCACACAAATTCTGCAATGTTAGAGACTTACCATTCTGATATGATTATGCCTCTTTCAGTGTAGAATAGTTCTTAACCCGTGTGGCAGTGGGTTTTTTTAAGTTGTCAGTGTTCTGTGTTTCTCCTTTCACATGATGCATATTTAATTCCTGTGCAACATGATGGTACCCTTCAATAATCCTCATGAAAGTCAGAGCTTTTCATGTGTTAATACACAGTCTGCAGTGTATGTGACAGCTGGTACATCCACTTAATGGTATCGTTTATTGAAATATGATGAAAGTGCAAAGTTGCACCAGTTGGGGTGGGAACTGAAAAGTGTATGTAGTAAATCATTAATTTGTCCCTTCGGGGAAGATGAAGTACTTTATGTAATAATAATTTAAAATGAGACTCTGAGGTTATCCAGTATTTCAGGTTTATTTTTAAATTTAGTTTTGTATTTTTTAACCTGATCCACGATTTCTGAAGCGGGAGTAGCTGTCCTTAAGAATAGTCTAGTAACTCTAACATGGTATGTGTATTCACTAATGCAGAAGATCTCACATAAGCATAAAGGCAGAAACTAGCCATTCATATTGTGGAATAAAACTGCAGCGTTATCTCTGAATCTGCAAGTGCGAGAGGATATTGCTACTTTCAAGCTATTCAGTATAACCTTCTTACCTTTCACACCTCCTCCTCAGTAAATGTCCATATAGAATGGAAGATCCAGGGTTTGAGACCAAAACTTTAAACTTCTCCACAGAGCTGTACAAAACCAGATGTATTTTTAATAGAGCAGGTTTGCAGTATTTAGTGTTTCCTCATGTGTTGAGACTTCCAGTTGTTGGTTATATAAAAACTGAATGGAACAAATGAAAATCCTGGGTGAAAAATGGGTCAATCAGTTTGTGAAAGTGATTTACGAAACGTCTGTATGTGTTCTAGCCTGGGTTTTGCAATTCCAGTGCACGTTTAGTTATAAACTGATTTGCTTTCTTTGTGTCTCACTACATTCTTAACTGATGCTTGTGTTTACAGGCTCATGCTGCTTGCTACGTAATTGTCGCACCGGAATGTACTTTCGGAAGATTAAGGAATATGATTCTGCCTCCAAGCTGTGTGCAGTTATTTTCTCGCAACTTCAGCAAACTGCATTGTTTTCGAGTTATAGAAAATTTGCAGACAGAACCAGGTAAATCTGTCAAAGTTGCAGGTAATTGACAGGTATGTTTAACGTAGTGTTGTAATTCACCGAAGCACGTGGTTGCTAGTTTTCAGTGGCTTTTGTAGCAGTATTGTCACTTCATGATGGTTCTAGGACAGGGTGCAGATTTTTAAATGCAGAGTGTGTGCAAAATGCTGAAACTTCTGCTTACTGGTGCAGGGCAATTTGAAAACTTCTTTGAACAGTAAGTATGGTATAAGTGAAAGCTTAATATCCAAGCATTTGTGTTATTAGCGTTATCATTGCTTACAAACACTTGCTGATATGCATGTTTGTTTTTATTTGGTGTATCATGTGTACAGATACTTTTTATTTGACTCTTTGATTAAGCATCTGCCTTTTTAAGATTTCTATGCTGAAAGGAAGTAGTGTGTTTAGCCAGGTAATGTTCTGCTGCCATCTAGAGTGTATATTTGTTTAGCAGCTCTTCAGGAATGAGAATTTTTTTTAAGCCACTGAATTATTTTCTAATCCATATTTTGATTATTAAGTTCTTTTAAAGCCTTTCTTTTAGTGCTTGAATACAATAGGAAAGCAAATAAAAGGTAGGCAAGGTATAGGTCGTAGAAATTATATATTTGCAGCTGTGCTTTTCTCAGCCTGACAGGTTGTTCTTGAGCTTTCTGTGTGGAACGCACAGGTTTGGTTTTGATGGTCCCTAGAAGGAGCCATGCATTCTCATGTGCAAAAGCTACAGCAAGAGTCCTGCTACTGCATAAACTTCTTGACCCTGAGTCTGTATAATCTAGATACACTGAAGTGACCTCTGAAATTGTAAAGGGGGAGAGGAGGCATTACATTGCTTTTTGTATATTGTTTTTTTTGCAGTGAGTTGTTTTTCTTTTTAATGAATTTTCTTGTTGGTGGGAGAAGGCGAAGTACAGCATGTACTTGAAAGTCTGGGAATTCATAATGCTTCCGACATAAGAAATACCAGAAATAAACAGTCTTGATGTACTTGTTTTTGCTGTGTCGTGCAGGCATGGTCCTTCAGCAGTTCTCACACTGCACAAGGGACATCTCCTGTTGCCACAGCTGGTGAATGACATTGCTCTTAAGATTGTTGAAAGAAGTCTTGGCTGTCACCTGGATGAGTTAGCTGCTGTAGGCACACCTCTTCCTAAGCTGATGATTGGGAAGTGGCAGATGACTTGTCGTAGACAGAGAATGAACAGAGAGGAGAGCGTTTGCCTGGATTAGTTTTTGCCACTAAGTAAATGCTAACCTTCACCACCAACATTTGGTAGACACCTCTGTGATGAGAGTGGCTTTTCAAAACCAGGGTAGATTTCCCTACTATCCCAACTGAGGGAGAAGGAGTAATAAAGAAAGATGTCAGCTTCTTCCCATCTGAACTTGGAAAAGGTTAGGAGCAATCAGAAAATCTTTAATTTCTTATTGTTGTGTTTACATATTCTTTTCTTAATTTTCTTTGATCTGAAGTGAAATTCCAGAAGGCATTCAGCTTCCATTTATTTCAGTGTCTTTAAAGACAGTATTATCTAAATTTCTCTCCAACCTGAAGCCTAACCTGTTTGTCGACTGTAACAAGGGAAGTATTGCAACCTGTCTTTCGTATTTTAAAACCCCCAACTCAAACATTACTGTTAGTATTTCCTGTGGTCAGTTGAAGCATTACCCAAACATTCGGTAAGTTACCTAGTCTCCAGTTTAGGGCTCCTGCTAAGTACCCTTCTTGACATGCTGTGATTTCTGCTGCTTAGGTTTTGCTGCATCAGGATTCTGACTTCTCTAGTACCTCTTTTGCTCTGAAGATCTGTCTTCACTGGTTTTGTTTTATTTTTTCTCTTGTTTTCTGCTTTGATTCCCTGCTTTCTCCCTCGATAGCAGGGCATAGTTTTTATAAAACTGTTGCCAGGCTTCCATCTTCTGAGAGCTTTGTTTGCATCCTAGTCAGGAGTGACAAGTTCTGATGGGTGAGCGTATTTGATCATCACACTGGGTTGGCTTATGTTACTAGCTGCTGCTACCCTTGGAGAAGAAAAATTAACCCTGTTTGGTTTTGTACCAGTATTACTGTGTGGACCCGAGTGTCAGGAATGAGAATGCAGTCAGGATGTTATCTTCACAGAAGCAGATGTAAATGTTAGTAGCTTTTATTTTAATCTTTTCTAGGTATTTTATATGTTATTATCTGACATGTTAGCTGCTAGTTTTAGTGAGAGTAATGAACTGCTATCAAAGTCCTCTTCTGGAGTGCAGTAATTTCTTTCTATTTGGGTGTCAGCAAATCTGACACCCAAGTTTTTCAATTACTGAAATTATATATATTTATTTAAACCCCATAATTCTGATTGGAAGGCTGTTACTGCAATTCTTGGACTGATCTGTTTTTTAAAACTTAATGGAAATCATATATGCTTTGGTCGTAGGCAAACATCACAGCCTGAGAAAGGGATGTAATGCTGTAGCTGCAGTGTTAAAACTAATAGCAGAAGGACTTCAGGTGTGCCTTCACTGTAATTAAATGCCAGTGTGTTTTTTTAATGCTGTTTTTCTAGTATGGATTCTTACCAGAAAATAGGCAGAAGAAAACAGGTTGCTTTTCTGACAGGATTGTTTTGTTTGATGGAAACCATCCTTAAATGACAGACACTTCTGTCCTGCCTCCCCAGTTCAGATGAACAAGAATCCTTTCTCAAAATCCTTCTGTTTTCACAGATGAAGATGATGATGTTGATGGGTCAACACAGGGGTCAACAAAAGATGTCCAGATTTCAACAGATTCAAGTAAGCAGAATTTCAGTAAGTGCTAGATAGTCACCTACTCCAGTCTTTATTCATATAATCTTAACTTGCTTTGCCTTGTGAGAAAATATTAAGTGGTTATTTTTCTAATGCTGGGTATCAGTTTGAAGTGCAAAGTTTTTGTCCAACGCATTTATTCAGGTCTTACAAATATCAGTATTTTTTACCGGTAGATTGGCATAAGTGACAATCTGTTCATAACCCTGACAAATAGATCATTTCTCTCAACTTGGTAATCAAAGAAAGAAAGCGTAGTGTTAATAATCCATAAATAACCAATCAATTTAAAGAGCAGGGAAGCCTGTCTTTTCAAGGCCTTTTTCTTTTAAGGTAGCTGGATGCCCATCTTACTGAAGCCACCCGATGATACTGGGATGGTTGCTTCTGAAGCAGTTAAATTCTTATGCGCATGGAATTTTCTGGGGTTGGTATTAGCCAAACTGTTACTTTTCAGAAGATGAAGCCAACCACAATTTAAGGGCATTCAACTCCCTACATCCATATTAGGAACTAGAAAAACATGCAACAGCTGTCAGTCTGGTTTCTGGAACTATGTACACATGGGTCACAGTGACCTGCAGTCCTGCTTCAGATTGCATGTGACCAGCTTCCTTTATCTCCGCTTATCCTTCTATTATCCCATATTTGATCCTTTAAAATCACCGTCCCTTCTTCTACCTTTGGTTCCACCCCTAACAAGTCTTGTATAATCCTAGAATGCTCTTCCCATGCATCTGAAAGTCCCACAACCCAAGTGACTACCTCAGTGGGTGAGGTGATCCACAGACCTTCTCCTGTGGACTCACATGGTGGCTGATGCCCTTGCCTGAGGCCAGGTCATGGCTTCTTCGATAATTTCTCTGACAAAGTATTTTGGGTTCACCTGCCAGTTGTTGTCTTGTGCCTCTCTGCATGTCATAACCTATCAAACTAAACATGTCAGAGTCAATGTTTAGCGTGCTGGACCCCTTCCACCTGTCTCTAATTAATATCATTTATGTAATATGAGTCAAGAGTGAGGTGCTCATTATCTTCTGTGTGTTGACTCAGTTCATGTGCCACATCTTTTGGATTCTCTCCCTCAGGAATGTGTGAATTACATTCCAGAATATTGTAGCTTTCCTTAGTTTAAGTTCTCAACATTTTACAGATGCGTATTTTTAAGAACAGTGGAAGCAAGTCAGAAAAAAAGAATAATAATACTGACTTGTAAAGACATGCTTTTCTGTAGGAAAAAAGCCGATAGGAAGGGGTGCAAAGTCTGTAGATAATAACTAGGAGAAAAGTAGAATTAAGGGTCTGCATTCCTTTTTATTTCTTCTCTATTGTAGTAGAATTGTTGAGTGAAGCGTAAAGTTAGAAGGTTTAAATCTTAATTCTGGGAGCTGAAGTATGTTAAGTCAACCATGAAACTTAGCCTACCAAGATACTGAAGCCAAAGGCATAAAATGACCATAAAAACAGCCCTACACTTTCTGAGATAATAGATTTAACAGATGTACAGAGCAAGTTTGGAAAAGGACTGTAAATCTTTGTGCCTGAGAACACGAGCCAGCTTTTAAGGACTTGTCTACACTGTGAACAATTAGAGGGGAACTGAATGTTACAGAGATAGTAGGATAAACATCGTGTGGATGATCTCATTAGTGTAGTTGGTTGTATGGCATGTGAAGGAGTTGAGCCCCAGTGTCCATTTTCATACTGAAATATGTCTTGGTTAATCCAGGAGTATGCAACTGATAAAACTGTTCTGCATTGACAGATCTCAGCTGCGGGTGGAGGTAAAGAAAGGAATTAAAAGTGCTCCTTAGTGGTGTCCCTCAGGGGTATGCATTTTCTGTCCATTCTGTGATGTTCGACTAGGTTTCAACCAGCACAGATTATTCTTGTTTTCCTGGAGACAGAGTTCATTGGTTTCAGCTAAAATGCAACCACAATGTAATCTGTCAATCTTCAGAAGTCAAAGGCAGACTTTTGGAAAACATTTTCATTATTTCATGGCAATATGAAGAGTTAGTGGAGGCAGGAAGGAAAAGAAAAAAAAAAAAAAAGATTTGTTGTATATATGAACAAAGGAATCCCAGAGGAGCTATCCCAGTATAATTCCTGAAATAAAAGAATGAGTTAAGAGCTCTTACTTGTGTGTTGATCCGCAGGGATCTTGGAACATGAAAAGGCCTAATCATGTGCCTGGGAACTTGATTCTGCCCTAATTGCTTGCCAGGAATCAATAGAAGCTGAGGGTACTTCACTGCTGTATAGTGAGGCTTAGGTAGCTTTTATGTATTTTAGAGCTAATCCATCACAGATAGTGATTGAGGAAGATTGTCTTCAACTTCTTCGCTCACAAAAGCTTCTGTTCAGTGGTACTTCAAGGTACTCATTTGTAAGTTGAATTGCTGTACCTGATGTCATGCTGAATTTATTCTGAGATGGCTTGCTTCACCTGTGTTTGAAGATACTTTAGAAAAGAGGATTATGCTCTTGTTCGATGTATTGATAAACTATTGGCTTAAGTGCTAGAAGAGTTTATCTGTTTCCTTTTTTAGCTGAAATGCCTGTAACTACTGGGAGAAAAAAAAATTTGTATTCTGAAAAATCACATTGCTTTTATTTTGCTTCACTTTCCCCACTGTGCTTATCTTATTTTCCTCTCCTTCCCTCAACCCCGTACATCTGCCTTTCTGACACCTCATGTTGCCCACTGTTGTTCTCACTTGTAACCAAGTTGTGTTTTGTGCTCTTCCCCAACTTGTCTCTTCCAGTTCACTTCCTTCCTCAAGCACAATATTTAGTCCCCAGTGTTGCTACCCCTTTGATTTGATTCTCTTTCAGCCTGCCTGACCTTTTCTTGTTCCTTAAATCCCTTTCCCCCTCATCCTTGATGTCTCACACCAGTTGGTAGTCAAAACTTTGGCTGCTCTAGATGTCTATTTCAGGGAAGGTAATCACCTCTTCTTAACTACTTCCTGCAAAATATAAACAGGTTTTATGGAAAATCTGTTCAAGAAGAAAGACTGAAAAATCTGTTGTTCTGTAATATTGTTGTCACGAGGCTATGGAGAGATACTCACAAATGTTATTAGCTAGTGTTAATTTATTCTCTGCCTTAGGGGTCCTTATGACAGTGCTTGCCAGGTTAAAAATCTAAGTGTGGATGCTTGAGAATGGCATAAAGATCCGTGCTTTGTGAGTTGTTTTGGTGATTGTGCATTCTCTTTGCTGTAGCATTCTGCTACTCTTGATGCTTGAGTACAGTTTCTCCATAGCAGCCCAAGGGACATGCGTACAGACATATTTCAGGAGGTGTATTGAGCGCTCAACAGCCTTTCTGGTTCTCTGTGTGTGCAACCCATTTATCCGACAAGGACACATGAAGAGTGTGGGCCTCTCCTGGGAATCTCCCTGCCCTGAGTGTCTCTCAGCACTCTCTGGCTGCATGCTAACTGTCCAGTCCAAATGTGTCCGTCTTCCTCAGGACAAAATGCAGCCATCAAAAGAAAACCCTCTTGGAAAGAGGTTTTAGAGGAACCTGTCTGAGGAGAACAGTGAGGGCTGCGGTGCTGCCAGTAAACTTATTTTCCACAGACTCTCTTTTGCCAGGTCGCTGTGCACCTGCTGAGAAAGAAATATGAAATGTCCTTGCATTAGAACAACCTGAGTCATCAGCTTGGTGCTTACTTATGTTTTGTCCAAAACCTGCTGCCATTATGGAGGAGACCTTGTAATTCTGCAAGCGGGAACAAACTCTTTTCAGGAAGAAGCAAGGACAGCTTGTGTGGATTTGAGGGTTTTATCCTGTAAAGATACTTACGAAACATTCTGCCTTCATAAAACGAGTCATTGTACTCGGCTAAAATGGCATACAGACAACTAAGCAGGTCACATGTTCCTCTGAAACATCACTTAAATGGATTTCGAGCCCTAAAGCTAGAGGGAGAAGCAGGTGAAACCAGATCAAGTGGTGATACACATGGTAGATGCTTGGGAAACAAGGTCAGAGAAATGAAACACCTGCAGATGGCTCTCTTAGTGGAGGAACATCTGGAGAAAAACCAGTCTAGGATTTTGAAAGAGTCTCTTCAAGACCAATAAAAGCACATAATTCTTACCTGGTTTATTGCCGCCTGTAGGTTATGAATAGTAATACTGAAATAAACCAAAATGTGCCAGTGGTAATTCGAAGTAGCACTGGCTAGAGAAGAAGAACAGAAAGCAGGAAGATGAAGACTGGGAGGCCTCCTGTAATCCTAGGGTGAAATCGGTGTGCTCGGCTCGCTCCCTGAAATGTCTGTACGCCAATGCGCGCAGCATGGGAAATAAGCAGGAGGAGCTGGAAACCTGTGTTAAGTCGGGAGATTATGATCTGGTGGCAATTACAGAGACGTGGTGGGACAGCTCACATGACTGGAATATAGTCATGGAGGGCTATGTCCTTTTCAGGAAAGACAGGCCAGCCAGGCGGGGTGGTGGGGTTGCTCTTTATGTGTGAGAGCAGCTACAATGCATTGAGTTCTGTCCGGGGACAGATGATGAGCAAGTCGAGAGTCTGTGGGTGAGAATTAAGGGGCAGGCTGGCAGGGGCGATACTGTTGTGGGGGTCTGTTACAGGCCACCGGATCAGGGTGAGGAAGTTGACGAGGCCTTCTACAGGCAGCTGAGAGCGGCCTCACAGTCACAGGCCGTGGTCGTCGTGGGGGATTTTAACTTCCCTGATGTTTGCTGGAAGGACTACTCGGCAACCCAGCCGCAGTCCAGGAGGTTCCTCCAGTGTATGGATGATAACTTCCTCATGCAAATGGTGGATGAGCCAACCAGGAGAGGTGCGCTGCTGGATCTCATCCTCACTAACAAGGAGGGTCTGGTTGAAGGAGTGAAGGTTGAGGGCTGCCTTGGTTGCAGCGACCACGAGATGGTAGAATTCAGGATCTTGTGTGGTAGGGTCAGTAGAATAGCAAGTAGAATCGCAACCCTGGACTTTAGCAGGGCAAACTTTG